CTCTCTCTTTCTCTCTCTCTCTCTTTCTCTCTCTCTCTCTCTCTCTCTCTCTCTCTCTCTCTCTCTCTCTCTCTCTCTCTCTCTCTCTCTCTCACTACCCCTCCGCCCTCTCACCCCCTCCCCCCAATCTGTCTTATTCCCCTCTCCCTCACGTGGTGTCTCTCTCTGTCTCCCCCTCATGCGGTCTCTCTCTGTCTCCCCCTCCCCACTCCGTGTCCCTCCCTCCCTCGGCCGAGTAGTGTGCTGAGAAGCGGAAGGCCATGCTGGATGTGATGGCCATTGAGACCCAGCAGTTGAGGAGCCGACACAAGGAGGAGCTGAGCGACCTAAGGGTGCAGCACGATAAGGAGGTGCTGGGTGTCCGTGCCAAGTACGAGAAGGAGCTGCGCGAGTTACACGAGGAGAAACAGCGCTCTGAGGAGGATCTGAGGGCACAGCTCAGGGATGAGAAGGTGAGGGGCGGTGGGCATGGGGGAATGGAACCAGGTAGCTGGGAGTGGGGTGTACCCCTGGCACCCACCCCCTGGGACTCTTCTGTGATAGTCACGTTCCCATCTGTCACCCGCAGGCCCGGAGCCGGGAGCTGGAGGCAATGCAGCACACAGTGGAAGACCTCCGCCAACAGGTCCAGGCCATGGAGGGAGCGAAGGGCTGGTTCGAGAGGCGCCTGAAGGAGGCCGAGGTAAAGGCTGAGTGACCGCATGCACAACTTCCAGCACCTTACTGGCTCTGGGTGTGTGTGAGTGTGTGTGTGTATGAGTGTCTGGGCGAGAGTGCGAGGGGCGAGTGTCTGGGCGAGAGTGCGTGTGTGTGAGAGCGTAAGTGTGAGCACATACCCCAGGGGGCTGGTTGGATGCACAATTTGTTGAGTCCCCTTGTGAACACACGTGCCCTGTTTCTGCCACCCCCTACACCCTCTCCCTCTGTCTGCCAGCTCCTCCCCCAGGCAGTAGACTGGAGGTTACAGAGATGAGGAGGGGTGCAGGGACAGTTGTGCCCTGTGCTGCGTGTTTGACCAGCCCTGACCCTCTGTCTGTCTACCCCCTGAGCAGGACACACTGGTGAAGGTCCGTGTGGAACACGAGGACCATGTTCAGAAGCTCCGGGAGCAGCACGCAGCCGAGCTACAGGTACTCTCAAAACCCCCACCAACCCTCAGGCCTCGTCTCCCTCTGTCCCTCGCTGTCTCCCTCTGTCCCTCGCTGTCTCCCTCTGTCCCTCGCTGTCTCCC